GGTTGACTCTTAACTTTTATAAAGAATATATCTTTGGATTTGAGACTTTAGTCTTTGCAACTTTACAGATCTTCTTTATGCACCAAGAGCTTGTAACACTCCAAAGAGAAAGGAAAACTTGAAATCACATCATATGACCCCTTTAAAATGCACCCATTCAGGTTATTTCTTATTTACATGTAATGCAGGCATTCCCAAACTTTTTTGTCATCCGAAAATCTTTCACCTAATATATTTATTTAATGTACCCCTGAGATTTTAAAATAAATATTTAATAATAAAGTATCACATTTGCATGTTCACGGTTCTCTGACATTGGTTAATGGTCACATGACATGCAGGTAAACAAATATTTTATTGTTTTATTTCAGTGTTTTATTTCGATTTATGTTATTTTAATTTGACATTTTTATGATTTAATTAATGATTAACTTTCATTAAAGTCCCTGTGCAGTACCTTTACGAACCAAAGTTTGGGAAACCTTGATGTAACATAATGTTGTAATATTGTAACGGATTACAATTTTCAAGTAATCTACCCAGCTCTGTATGTAATATATAGTATACCACAGTACTGCCATTGTATTCTTTCATAAGGAAAATATTTCACATTCACGGTACATGCAAAACCTGTTAGAAATGAGCCAAGCTTGGTGACAAAAGTCAGTTCGGATTCACAACCAATTACTGGAAGAACTGGGTCAGTTGAGTAAAAACAAACACTTTAGGACTTTGGTGAAAAGAAGGGGGGGATGAATAGAAAGCAGACAGGCAGAGATGATAGGAGGGGTTAAAGACCAAACATAACGCTTTATCCTGTCTGTCGTATTTCACAGTACATTATTTCGGGGTCCGTGAATTTCTCAAGAGATCACTGGGTCCCAACTCGCAGTCAAGTCACAGTTGAAAGCAGACCCAGAGCTTCACATTTCAGGACGAGCATCGAGAGATAACAGCGCGGGGACGTGATGTAAGTGTTAATCGCGCAAATATCGCCGAATTTGTAACCGTTTAGCGAAATTTAAACAGGAAATGCGGCTGTATTCGGCTATCAGGCTAACTAGCGGCTTGTTATGAGACTGTGTTTTTACATTCACGTGAAATATATGTAAACTTTAGGTGTTATATTTTTTCTTAACGTTGAATTGTAAGGGTTAAAGCCGTCGAATGTGGAAAAAATCTGTATTTATGTGTCTTCCGTAGCGGATATGCTGTCCCGTCATATAGCTAACGTTAGTTAGCCGCTCTTAGCTTGCGCTGTTTTCAACAGATTTTAGCCTGTCAAATATGATTCAGGCATTAAAACTGTGTGAATATCACTGCCAAACAACATAAACCTGGTCGTAGTTGGTTTATACGTTAACGTTTAGTAAATCTATCGATTTGTTGCGCGTAGGAGCTTTTAAAATCACATTAGCCTAATAGTACGTGCGTTTTACCATTCATTTTAATGTAACGTTAAGTCATATTAACACGTATTAATGTCCATTTTTAACTTGTTTTCTCTTCGTTTTCTTTATAAATGTAATAATATTAAGACTGCAAATGGTTTGATTGTACAATATAACGTCAAATACAGACTAAATATGTGAAGTGTTATAAATTAACATCCTGTTAAATGGCTTTATTTGACTTTTTAACCATTGTATTATAATTTCGGCCTCACAAATATGAGTCATTTTTTATTTTTGCACGTCGTGTTATTCTTGTTTGATAAGATCATAGGAGGAGGAGGAGGAGCCACAGCTTTTGTGTGCTACACTTGAGTTAAAAGCCCTTATGTCATTCTAACAAATCAAGGATATTTTCATTCATTTGTTCTTTGTATTGTATTTTCAGAGGAGGAAGGAGCATGAGCCAGCTCGCAGATAACCAGTGACCGTAACATGAGGACCGGTGGAGAATGACATCTTATCCTGAGGGTTGTTGCAGAAAGCCAGAGAAAATGAACAGGGCGATCGGATACGCGATCATTTATTTAGTGGCCGTGATTAGTTTCTGTGCGGCAGAGGCTTTGAACATCTCGGCGGTGGATGGAGATGGAAGAGAGAACGGGACCGAGGCAGATGGGGACGGCTCGGTTCCCCTGGTGCTCAGCAAAGTGAGCCAGATCATCGCCCGTGAGGGGAACTGTGCTTTAATTGACTGTAATATCACCGGCGACCCTTTTCCAAATATCCAGTGGTTCAACTCGCACGGACACCTGCTTGACGCCAAGAAAAGTGGTATGTTTACTGTAAAAATCACCTTCTGACGCCAATGCATTCTCATATATCACTGCACCTACACTTGGTCACTTTATACATTTATCTGATTCTGTAGGTGTAATACATTTACACTAAATATAAATCTGTTCCTGTACTTAACGCACGTCATGTAATTGAGTTTGCTTCCATTTTAATCGTGTATGGCAGGTAGTGTTCAGTTTAGTCGTTGCTCCAACCAAGTGTAAAGACATCCTGTTGGGTTTGTGAATATGTACAACAAAACAAATGATTTCATTATAACAAACATTTTCAAGGGTTTACATTGGCGTTCAAAATTTGGGGTTGGTATAATTTCCCTTCTACTAATAATAAGTCTCTTCTACTCACCAAGGCTGCATTTATTTGATATAAAATACAGAAAAAACTAATAATGTGAAATAATATTACAATTTAATATAACCATTTTAATATACAGTCATGGCCAAAAGTTTTGGCAGTGACATACATTTTGTGTTTCGCAAAGTTTGCTGCTTCAGTATTTGTAGATAATTTTTCCACATGTTTCTATGGTATACTGAAAAACAATGATAAGCATATAAGTTTTAAAGGGGTCATATGATGCTTTTTTAAAGTGGGTTTCTTTGGAGGTAACCGTTGCTAACAAGAACACAATGATTGGAAGCGCTTCTTCCCTCTATCAGTCTGCTCTTACAGTCTATTTAGTATGATGGTGATTTTACCTGACTAGTACTCAATCACATTTTAACATGTGCTGCTGATATGATTAGTCAATTAATGTTAGCTGGTCATTTTGTGTCAGGATCAAAAAACGGTGAATTTTATTTTTTTGTGAAAAGTTCATTTGGCCAATGAAGATTTTAGCAATTATTTCAAATGCATCTGATCACTCTACACAATAATCTAGAAACAATGTGAATGAACACCACAACATCTTAAGCAGCAAAACACAAAATGTATTTCACTGCCAAAACTTTTGGCCATGACTGTATTTTAAAATGCAATTTATTTCTGTGATGTAAAGCTGAATTTTCAGCATCATTACTCCAGTCTTCAGTGTCACGTGATCTTTCAGAAATCATTCCAATGTGCTGATACAAATGCCATGTTTTTTTTTTTTTGCTGATTTTTAGGATTTTTTTCTTAAATATATAAACACACTTAATGTTTCATTTGTTTTGGGAATGACCACTGTGGATATTTTCCATGATTGATTTTATTACATCCACTCTTTTGAGATTTGAGATTAATCCAATATGCAGCCATTTGATCTTTAAATCTGGTGATGTAAAACGTGACTCCCAGCTGGAGTGTTATAGACTCGGAGCTCCTGATGAGTGACTTTTGGAGGATTACTGATGGTGTCGTGCATGCTTAGTTAATGAAAAAATACTTGAAAAAAAATGTTTTTACTGAAGTGACACGGAAACATTCCTGCTATTCAGTTGAGCCTGGGTAGTGAATTGGACTGGGTGTGTTACTGTGTGAAGAATTAGTGTGAACTAAAGACCGTTTGAAGGGTTTCATCTTGCACAGCATTTATGAACAGAAAGACACTGCAGGCTTGAATGTATATTGAAGGAATAGTTCACCCAAAATTGAAAATTTGCTGAAAATGTACACACCCCCCTCAGATCATCCAAGATGTAGATGAGTTTGTTTCTTCATCAGATTTGGAGAAATGTAGCATTGCATCACGTGCTCACCATCAATGGATGCTCTGCAGTGAATGGGTGCCGTCAGAATGAGAGTCCAAACAGCTGATAAAAACATCACAATAATCCACACCACTCCAGTCCACCAGTTAATGTCTTGAGAAGTGAAAAGCTGTGTTTTTGTAAGAAAAGGTTTTTAAATTCAAACCATTGTTTCTGGCTAAAATACTAGTCCGTAATATTGCTATATCCAGTTAAAAAGTCATCTTGTCTGAATCAGGAGCGAAATATGTACAGATCAAGCACTGTTTACAAGTGAAAAATATGTTGGTGAATTTTGATGAAAGAGGACTTTTGAGATGGACTTTTTCACTTGAGGAAGTGTTATTTTGGATTGTGGACTTGTATTTTAGCTGAAAGTTTTGAAGTTAAAACACCTTGATGGATTTGTTTCTTACAAACACGCAACTTTTCTTCACAAGACATTAACTGATGGACTGGAGTGGTGTGGATTACTTGTGGATTATTGTGATGTTTTTATCAGCTGTTCGGACTCTCATTCTGACGGCACCCATTCACTGCAGAGCATCCATTGCTGTCAGCTTTGACATAAACATTAAAAAAATTTTGCAAATTGCAACCCATTTTACTGTCATATTTCAGTGAAGCAGGATATTTAAGAATGTGTGAAGTGGAACTTCATTTGAACTATCTTTAGTCTGTTGAGGTCGACTGACTACTTCCTGAAAGACTACCAGCACTCTTAAAAATAAGCTTGGGCCTAGATTACATCAGCTGAAAAGGAAAGCTAATTCGATTCGTCATTGCATGTTGTTCATTCAAAATAAGACCAGGATTTCGCATTATGAAAGTAAATGGAGTCCATTTTAATTTCATATTATTGACTTTGCACAAATAGTCAGCAGTTAAAGATCAAATAATTTTACTTTACTTACATAATGCATTGCTGAATTGTTTCGTAATGGTCTGATTAAATGACCTCGGGTTGCTGGCAGCAAGTAATGCATTGGTGGTGGACTGGTGCCAAATATGGAGTTTATAAATTCCCATCAGCACTTTAAGCACAGGCGGCTTGTGCGTAATGTATGTGCGTCCTCTCGACAAGGTGGACGTTTTAAGGGTTTCTACACAAACAAGGCAGAAACTGACCCTAGATCAGTGTCTTTATGTAAATGCATGTCTGTGGGTTATGCAAAGTCGATTAATCATGGCCGCATTGTTCACGGAACTAAGTTTTGTACTTTCATCTTGAGGAACTGGGTTTACAAAAAGGGTGTTTATACGCACAGTCGTACACCAGTTAGTTTGGAAACATGTCTAGTCATGTTGTCTTCAACTATGTTCTTTATTTGGTGGAAAGGTCGTAATTGTTTATGCAAAACCTGATTTTCACACCTAGATTTTTACCTTTTATCACAGTTTCACTTTGCTTGTGACCTCCTCTATCAGCTGTTCAGTGTGAACATTTAGTTTTCTTATTTTGTTGTAATGTCAAGATGTCTTTCTAGCATTATGACCTAAAAAAATGGGAAGCATTTGTTCTGGCATCTTGATTGTAATATGGCACGCTCTAATGTGATTGATTGACTTTTATGAAACTGTTTACAAGTTAGTGGGTTGCTATTTTCAGCAGTTTTGCAGATGGGTTAATCGCTGGATTTAATCATTTGTCAGGTTACTGGCGTCAGATCTAGATCTCAGATCTTCGAAGATACTAGGAAGAAAAAACTAGATTTCCATGAGCAGAACTGCAGGTTTCGCTTTGAGTTGTTTTAGTGCTTATTGCTTTTGGATGATCAGAAATGATGATTACAAAGTCTACACACATTTCTGCTCATTTCTTCAGGTGTTTTTGCACAGCCAGTCACAGATAGACACTACTATTGTTATTAGGCAATTTTTTCTGTGCTGTTTTATGGCTGAATCAATTATTTCATATAAACGACCCTAATTGCAAGTAAAACAAAACAAACAGTGGTTGGCCACTTATGTGTCTATCAAACTATGTCTTCACATCTAATGGTGCGTCCTCCTTGGGAAGTCGTAATTACAACCTCAGGTGCGTTCAGATCACTTCAGGTTTAAGCAAGATGCTGATGTACCTTTTTGACATAAAATTCAACAAGATTTTTCCACTTTACATCTACTAAATGAAGCATTGGACGTGTTTTTGCTTTTTTTCATATTACTGCTGTAAATTGAATTTTATATTTTATAATCGTCATTATTGTACAGTACTATGGTATTTTGTACATGCAACTTAGATGGTTTTATTGCAAAATTATTATTTTTTAATTAATTTGAACAAATTTACCATTTATACAGATGCTTTATCCATGTCTTTCGCTATATTTTCTCACCGACACGTTCCCAGCTCGTAAAGTTGGGTAATTACCGGAAAATAAAATTTACCAGTCGTAATTAAACTTTGCGGTGATATTCGTGTGCATTTAACTCTTAAATACGATCTCGACTCGAACGCACTTTAAGACAATTCTTGGCCAGAATATATTGAAAAATTGAATAGTCTTTGTCACAAGTCAAAGGTTTTTATGAATTTTTATTAACATAAATTTTGTTGTATATGTTTTTAGATTTCATTCAAATCCACTCAGTCTGTTTTTAATGAACAAATCAAACCGTCAGTCTTCAGTGATTTTTCTTTCTCTTTTTCTGCAGATGGTAAATGGTGGATTCTGGACAGCGGCATCCTCAACATCACCAGCATCACGTTCGCAGACCGCGGCAAATACACATGCGTGGCCTCCAACGCGTACGGCAAGGCCAACTGCACAGTGACGCTGCGCGTGGTCTTCACCAATGGAGATATGGGTGTGTACTACATGGTGGTGTGTCTGGTGACGTTTACCATCATCATGATTCTGAACATCACTCGCCTTTGCATGATGAGCAGCCATCTGAAGAAAACCGAGAAGGCCATCAACGACTTCTTCCGCACGGAAGGCGCGGAAAAGCTCCAAAAGGCCTTTGAGATCGCGAAGCGTATTCCTATCATTACCTCGGCAAAAACGCTGGAGCTGGCGAAGGTCACGCAGTTCAAGACCATGGAGTTCGCTCGCTACATCGAGGAGTTAGCGCGTAGCATACCGCTCCCGCCGCTGATCATGAACTGCCGCACCTTCATGGAGGAGATTCTCGAGGTCGTCGGCGTGGAGGAAATGAGACACACTTTTGTCCGGCAAGCGCCCGAGAGTCACGACGGGGTGGCTGTCGGCACTTCCAGCGACGTTTTCACTATCTTGCGCGAAAGAGAGCGGGCGAGGGAGAGGGAACGCAGCGATTCTCCTGCCGTGGACTCGGACGACGCGTCGCTTCACGAGCAGCCTCAGCACATAGCCATTCAGGTTTCGGTTCATCCACCGTTAGCTGCAGCAGGATGCTGTAACATAGAAGCTCCGCCTCTTTCCGAAATAGTCTCCTCTCCACCCCCATTGGCTCAGCTGCCTCTGGAGGAGGAGTCTGAGGAGAAGGAAAACAAGGCGGAGTCTGTACAAGGAGGTGGTGCTGCACAAACCCAAGTCATTTATGAAAGCCATGTGTAATATCCTCAACGAAGATTAATGACCTCGCTATGCATTTTCTTGGGGAACGAAAAGGTCAAGATTTGTGTTTCTTCGCTTTATTTGTGTTTGGGTGAATCTCTCAAAACTCACATTTCTGGGTTGTATTTTACCTTAAAATAAAACAAAAAACAGAAATTATATTTTGCATAAAGCAAATAAAGCCCATTTTTCATAGTTTCTGCGTTGCATTGACATTTTCGTGACAATTAACCCTCCATTTATAGAATCTATTCTAATTCATGAAATGGTCTCATTACTGTACAATTAAATGTTTATTTTTTTCCCCAAATTTTAAATATTCAGTATTCATTCAGTTATACTTTATTTGTGACAACTGAATTTAATTTAGGTTGATTTCAATTAAAACACTGTCTGAACAGAATTATTGTTAGTACTGTTTTGCAAAAAAAAAAAGTAATTCGATTTTTTTTATTTACATAACAGTAATCTGAATTTGGAGGCAAATTTTGCTTAAAATGATAATGTCACAATCCACAAAAATTATTAATAGTCCTAAAAATTGTTAATTTTCTTGATTTTTTTTTTTTGTGGTAAAATATAACCTTGTAATTTCTTTGTGAGATTGACCTGTGTAAGTTATTTTTTCCATGACAATGAATACTCATGCTGAATGTATTTAGGGGTGATGTTCTCTATTTATTTAGAAAATTCAGGTTTGCCCATGATTTTTTTTTTCCGTAGTTAACAGAAACTAGGTCTACTGAGGGACTCAAAGCTCACATCTCACGTCTTCATCGGCAGACAGAAAGTAGTTCTGTTGGATGTAGTTACAGATTATTCATTTCACGAATGAATGAGAACGAACGACTGATTAATACATTTGGCTGAAAGTAAAACTCTTATTTCAGCAGTGACGTGCACAGTAATTCCTAAGACCTCGCTCCCTCTTATAATGCATGAAGAATGCATGTCGATCTGTTTTCAGTGCTGCACTCGGAGACAAAACTTTTGTTTGTGCGATCTTGTCTGCTATGTGTTATTTATCATTTGTGTCACGTAAACACGGCATTGATACTTTGAATAACATTGTCGAAATTTCAGTTTGAGCTTTCGAGGCTTTTTTTTATTTAGTTGAGTTTCCACTGGAGTCTTTATACTGTTACTGTAATGACGGTATTATTACTTTACTAGTAGTACTACAGTAAGTATTAGTTTTGATTTCAAATGCACAGCTAGGGGTTTTTCTTACGTTTTTTTTTTTACGTTTGAGGATCCAACAGAGAGCTCTTTATAACGGAGCCCCAATTAAAATGTTTGATCTCTTCTGATGTCCTAGAAACACAGTTTTGCTTCTTAAAAAGGCTCACCTTTTAGTTTCAGTGCTAACGAGTTAGAATTCTTCAATGTTGATCTTGCTTTTTTGGGGCTCTAAATCCAGAGTAACCTAGCAGTCCACTGCACTGCGGATAGCTAGCTAAACGGGTTAAGCACTAGTCATTATAAATGTTCCTAGTCAGGATTGTCAGAGGAAGCGATGGCTAAGTAGTGAAATAAAGCTGCTGTGTACCCATGATTCCCTGTGTTCGTCTTCATTCACTCGGATCTTTTGATAAGCCTTTGTATCAAAATGTCATCATAATGCTTGATCTTTTGCAGATCATTTTATGTTGTTTGAAGAGCAACGTCTAGTGTTTTTCTTAGTGTCTTTTCAACTCAAACTTTGGAATTATACTAAGCAGATTTTAAAGTTAGTGTTCAAGTAAGTTGTTTTCGGTTCACAACAGCCCTGCTGAAACGATGTGTTGGATATGCAAGCGTCGACTCGAAATGCTTGAATAAAACACCATGCAATGTTTCTATTCAGATATTTGACGCGTCTTAGTAAGTACTGAGCTCGGCCTTGGTCGAGTTTGTGTGGGAAAGTGCTTATTGATTTGCATATGTGGATGTGTCCTCCAATGTCTGCAAAATGAAAAATTATTTACTTAATGTTGCTCCAAACAGGTATCCATTTTTTAACATTAAAAGATAAGTAGATTTCTTAAAATATATTTTATTGAAGTAAAAATGTTTGATTAGACTTAAAGGGTTAGTTCACCCAAAAATGAAAATTAGCCCACAAATTACTCCCCCTCAACTCATCCTAGGTGTATATGACTTTCTTCTTTCAGATGAATCCAGTCGGAGTTATATTAAAAATTGTCTTTGATCTTTCAAGCTGTTTAATGGCACTCAGCGGGTGTTGCATTGCTTCAATCCAAAAGAAGTTAAATAAAAAGCGCCCATCCATAAAAAAAAGTGTCTCACACGGCTCCGGGGGGTGAACTAAGGCCTTCTGTAGCGAATCGATGCGTTTTTGTAAGAAAAATATCCATATTCAAAACGTAATAATCACTTTAATGTAGCTTGCGCTCACTGTTGTAAACAGAAGCAGCTCCGGGCGGATAACGTATGAGTTCAGCGCTGCGCATGTGCCGCTCAGAAGTGACGAACACGGAAGCGCAGGGGAGAGATCAAAACAAAACAACGGTCAAGAATTAGAACTACAAAACGAGGATTTGTAAAGAAGAATGTCGGAGGATTTCGATAAAAGCCAAGAGGAAACTGGTTTTCCTTTGCTAGGAAACTTTGCTTCCTTTGCTCCTATAAACAAACTCGCGAGACTAGCATACCTCAGAGGTCCAGTAGTAACACTGCAGTCATGAAATGAAGGGAATAAAATCTCATTAGAAAGAGTGTAATTTAAGTGGAATAATTCTGTGTAACTTGTTAGTCAGTATAGAGCAGGGATAATATGCATTCATAAAATTTATTTCATCATATATGTATGTATAAATATCAACCCCAAAGTACCGTTAATGGCGCGACTTTCTAAGACGATGCACATTTACCTCACCACTGATTATATTTGAAATCGTAGAAAACCGTCCCTGATAGCAGACATACATCACAGAGACATCTATTTGACGTCTGCATTACATCTGCAAGACGTAGTTTTTAGAGTGTTTGCTCATCTGCGATACGTCTATAGGATGTTTCCTATCAGATGTCAAATAGACGTTTAGAAGATGTCTATAAGATGTTTATGATTTAGAATGAATGTAAAACTGACATCTTAAAAACGTCTATCAGATGTTTGTACACAGCAGATGCTTTCCAGATGAAGTGATCTTTAACAGACATCTTGCAGACGTACCTGTGCTGTCTGGGGTGTAAGTGACGTATTTAATGACTAATTATTGTCTCAGGATAATTACGAAGAAAATGATGTAGAAAATCTGTCTTTTCAATGAAAAGAAATGTAGGGCAGAACTCGATCTTCGATTCATTTGGAATCAGCTGGATTCGCCAATATACACATACTTTGCTTGTGATAGTCGCTCTTCGAAGCAGATCGGTGGTTAGAGTCAAAACGCAGACGAGATTTTCTTTGGACTTAATGTGCATCCATTCACGATAAGATCAGGTACTGTATCTGTAGAATCAGCGTAGCAGCGTTTTCACTACCGCTGGAAACCTCAGGAGCCATGAACATGTGCCATCCGGAGAGAAACCATACTCATGCCTTCAGTAAGGTAGTTTTCATATGACTCATAAGAAACTGACCAAAATTTGGATTTTGAACAAGTGTGGGCATTTTTGTAATCTTTAAATTCAATACAGGTTTCAAACAGGCAACTGTGAAGCCTGCCAAACTCAACATTCTGATGTTTATATGGACTGACAGACTATAAAGTCCTTTAAAAAAACAAACATTAGAAAGACAGTACTGTTGCATGTGGTGTCAGAGCATCTGCAGCTCCACCTGCACAAACACTGCGATGCTCCATTTACATGTTCAGACAGCAAAATATTTGCAGATGAAAAGAGGCTGAAAGCTATTCTGAAAACCCATTCAAATGAGAGGTTTCCTCTGGGAACGGCCACAAATACACACTGGAAAAGTCCCTTTGAGCAGCCAGACGGTGAAAAAATGAAACTTCAAAACTTAAAACTTCACGTAGATCCACCCAGAAAAAAAGCTGATTACCACAGTTACATTTAAAATGAATATTGGTTTACAAAACAATATAAAAAAATATTTTGTAAAATAATTCCAATTAACACGTATCAAATTTTGACTAAATACTGTAAAGCATCTTTCATTTAATTTATAAAGTACATTATAGCTTACAAATAAATGTGAATATGCTTTAATAGGTAAAGAGAGCTTTCGCTTTTGGCTTATGAAAAGGAGCAATTGTGCATTTCCTGGAAAACAGACACCAAATGTAAGTAAAGATGAATAAACCATTTTATGCTTAAAGTTTAATCTATTAAAAAGCTTTAAAAAAGTTTACCATTCAATTTGACATCAAGTAGTTAAACTCAAATTATTTGCTCATTCATATTCAAGACAAGAATCTGGGATCCATATTAATTTGCCTCTGTAGGGAGAATGAAAAATGTGCTGATCTTAAAATTTAACAGCAAGCAAGCAGAAGAGAAGTCAGTTTCAAAATGATATGTTTGGTCTCATCACACAAGGCTTTCCTCCTCCTGAACCCTTGGCCAGTTCGTCTCACAATATACAAATTTGTGATGTGTGTGTGTGTGAGAATCGATACAGTCTGTCCTCAGGCAGGAAAGTCTGGCGCTGACGCTAATGACCTGCGCAACCACACGGAGAAACCATACGCTTGCTCCCAGTGTGGTCCAACTTCTCACTGCTCTACAAATTCATAAATCACACATTTAGAGAAGATAGTAGAAATTTTCCTTTCAGCTTATATTACACTGTGTGAAATTAGCTGTCGCTTAAGTAGACCATTACTGTTTTTAACACTTTTTATGTCCATAAGAAAACCTATACAGGTTAGAGACCACATAGTTGCCCTAAACAAGCAAATGAAGTAGTGTAGTATTTTTTTTTTTTTTAACCGTCCTACTAGTAATATTTATAATTTATTTTCTGGAAATGCATGCAACTTTAACTAAATAATGCTACATTTTTCAGACAAAAAAAAAAAAACTATATATATATATTTTTATTATTATTATTTTTTTAATGGTAATATCTTATTTTATGGTAATATGAAATATACTAATATCTATTATTATTATTTTTTTTAACCATATTCACCCGTGGTGTTTGCCTTAATATACTGCTAGTATGTTTACTACTAATAAGAGCTATAAAAATACTAGAGTGCATGTGTTTGTTCAGGAAGCTGAACAAGAACAACTTTTATATAGCTCTGATTAAAGCAGTTATTAGTCACCAAGAAATTTTTTAACACTACCTTATAACTGAAGTCATTTCTTTGCTACTGTCGTCACCAAACTGACCCTTTCGAACCGGTTTCCGAAACACTCCCCATCTGCATCCGGACAAACTCTTTACTCGTGTAAAAACATTACAGCAGCAAGCTGATCTTCTTGTGACACCTCATTTAATGAAAGCTGAAGCTAATGGACTTCATACTGCCGACTGGAATACACACATTTTACTCTGACTGACCGGAGAGCAGCGTCTCGAGGGCTGTGCTTCACGGTTCACAGTCAGAGAGCAAGACAGTGCAAACACAGGATCTACACTTCATTTAAAACTATTTCATCTTTACATATTTTTTTTAATGTACAATCAAATCATTAATCATACATAAAATTCTCCATATTGTACAACTCTAGCACTAGTATAAATAAAAAAAAAAAAATTTGATCAATACATAACATTGTTTTCTTCACTGATTAACAGAGGAACATCAACTGCTAATGAGAACACAGAGGCCCCGCCCACACCGGCTCATTTACTGTCAATCAATCAGCGGGGGGGAGGCGGTAATGCCGGTCACCATGGAAACAAAGCGAAAGGACAGAATTTCACTAATCAGTTAAAAGACAACACTTCGGCCTTGTTTTGGAAAAGAAATGACATGCGAATATGTAATTCAAAAGTAAATTTAAGAAAAAACAGATGTAGTGCAGCTGGTAGGTTAGTGTATGCAGTTTAACAGAATGGGATACAGCAATGGTTACCACAAGTGTCAAATTTGTGCAAAACTGTGCCATGTATTTCCAAAAAAACAAAAGCAAAGGGCCAACAGCAGCAATCACAAAAAAACTAGAGTTTCCATTCTTATGATCTCTAACAGTCACATTTCATCATCGCTTTTTCAGTGCCAATAAGAAACTGTGCAGTCGTGCCCGAATCTGAATCATTTGGCATCTCCAAAAACTGTTTAGTTGGGTTTATATTTACATGTAGATTTTAGTCTCACAAAAAAGGTCTGGGTCATATTTCACCCAATATTGAAGGGTTAGTTCACCCAAAAATGAAAATTCTGTCATTAATTACTCACCCTCATGTCGTTTCAAACCCGTAAGACCTTCGTTCATCTTCGGAACACAAATTAAGATGTTTTTGATGGAATCTGAGAGCTGGCTGACTCTGCATAGACAGCAACACAACTGAAATGTTCCCAAGTCCAGAAACGTAGCAAGGAGATCTGTAAAATAATCCATGTGACATCAGTGGATCATCCACAATTATACGAAGCTACAAGAATACCTTTTGTGCGCAAAAGAAAAAAAAAAAACGACTTTATTCAACAATTCGTCTCCTCTGCATCACCATGTAGCGCCATTTTGGAGAATATCCGCTGGAAGTAAACAGCGTATGCTGTTCTGTGTCAGTTGCGTCACGCCGGATTGCTGTTTCCGTTCAGATCAAATCACAACAACGTAGGAAACAGATCCGGCATGA